ATGGAAAAAGTCGGTTTGTTCTTACGTCCGGTAGGGGCGCTGCTCAGTTTTCGTTGAAAACTTTGACGAAGCGATACGATTACTGCACCCTTAGCACGAAACATTATCGAATTCGGATAGTTTGCGAGTGCTAAATGTCAACGTAAAATTTTATATGGAAACATGAACAGCAGCGCCACAAAGTACGTAACGAGAACTAAAAATCAGTACACAATTTGACAATGACATTTCGGACTCCCAAACGATACGAATTCGATATTGGTTCGTGCTAAGGGTACAGAAATGCCAAAGTTCGTGCGTGGGCCTAAGTAACTCTTTCCCCGTTATTAATAAACGACGAATAAGCTTGGATTAGTTACTCCATGTTTTATCTCTTTCCATTGAATGACAGGGGAGCTCGATGGCGGGAAGTTAGCGCGTTCGGCTGCGATCGTTGAAGTTAAGCAACTTTCGCAGTGGTCGGTCATTGGATGGGTGGCCATAAATCTTCTATCTCGAGTTCCTCCGTGCTTCAGAAGGCACGTTAAGCCATTGGTCCCGGCGGCATCTGCAGTCGTTAGCCGTCAATCCACTGGGCCCTCGTGGTGGGTCATGGCGCAATCACCCTATTCCATCCATAGGGAAGGCCTGTGCCCCAGCAATGGGGGTATGGAATTTGATGATGATGATGATTTAATGACAATTGGCATTTGAGTTTTATGAACAAAACACGGCGTAATAAGATTAAACCTATTTTTTGTTTAAATATAAAAAAAATAATTAGAAAAAAATCTACGCAGACCAGTCAGCAGACGGGACTCGAACCCGCACCCTTCGCTATCCGGGCGAATGCACTGACGTATTATGCTACCGTGGCCCTGGTAGCCGCGTCGAAATACCTCTAGCCATTCTTAAGCTGCTTCGCATTGCAGGTAACCCACAATGTCAAATGAATACCTTTACAACTATTAATCATTTGAAAGAAGAAATAGCAATTATATAGTTACTAGCAAACCAGTGAACCAAATGTTCACCACAAAAAAAAAAAAAGGAGGTGTATTTAATTATTTGAGAACTTCGGAGATTTTGTGTGGTTTCGTTTGAAATAGAAATCACGTGATTTCTCGAAAACCGGAAGTGCTACGTTACTCACATCCGGTTTGTAGTCTTATCAGACTATTCTCAACTTATAACTTAAACATTCTCTTTATCTATCTCTTACGGTTTGGCCGCTGAAACAGCACCACGGACGGACGGACGGACTTGTCTAATAGATAAGAGATAATTTTTATTTTTTAAGCAAGTAACTGCTTGTTGTTTAAATCTAAAGAAAATATAACTAGAATAAAATCCACGCAGACCAGTCAGCAGACGGGACTCGAACCCGCACCCTTCGCTATCCGGGCGAATGCACTGACCAATTATGCTACCGCGGCTCTGACGGCCGCGTCGAAATTCCTCTAGCCATTCTTAAGCTGCAAGGCAGCGCGATTTTTTCTTGTTAGATTTAAACATCAAGCAGTTACATGCTTAATAAATAATAGTCTAAGAGCCAGTGATCCGCAGACTTACGGTATGCGGATTGCGAAACTATTATGTAGTCTGCCTGCATTTTAGAACCGGCTTATCTGTCTGGTTTTTTAAATATACATGTATAATAATGATGTAAAAAACATACATAAATTGCAGCTTTGCTGAAACGCTAGTTCCCTGCGAAATTAAGAGTGAGAAAATCAAAATCATGCAACTGCAATAGCACGACTGAGAAAGTATCGTACGGTTTGCCCGCATGTCAGTACCGACCTATGGGTCTGTTTTTGTAAATATATGTTTATAATTATAATATAAATAACAGTTTTTATGTAATTTTTAGCTTTGCTAAAATAACGCAAATTTTATGAAATATTGGAAACTATGATATTATATAAAATATAGTAGGAACCGGAAAAAGTGTCTGCCATTAAGTTTTTCTATATAAAAAATATATATATTTCAAAATATCAAAACGGCAGACAGCTGCGATCACGTTCTTGAAGGTCGATTTTCATGCTTTTCGACTTCCCGACACGCCTAAAGTGGAATAGTGAACCACCATTTGATCTACGGCAGATGAATTAGTATAACTAGCATTAATATGAAGTTTGCTACTATACCGTAAGTCTGCGGATCACTGGCTCTCAGTCTATAAAAAATATAACTATTTCTTGTTTACTAATAAGGGGATATAGGATTAGACTTTCGAATGGCAGGTACATTCATTATCAATGCAAACCGCAGTGCTCTCAAGGGTGCTATTGCGGAGTTGTTTCGCCGAGTTGGTGTCATCAGGGAAAGCTCATATCTCAACGGGATTACCGCACACTTTCTCATCGTTACGTGGGTGTTGGAAAAGTCGCGATTTCCATTATTAAAGAGTGTGAGTACCTTTGTTGAAAACTGTTATTAATAGCCAGTAATAATAATAATATGTTAACAAGAACTTCAAAAATAGCTGAAGTAATTTGGGATACAGACACTTTTACTATAATCAGAGATATCTTTATATATAACACTCAAAAGTGACTGACTGACTGACATAGTGATCTATCAACGCACAGCCCAAACCACTGGACGGATCGGGCTGAATTTGGCATGCAGGTAGATGTTACGACGTAGGCATCCGCTAAGAAAGGATTTTGATCAATTCTACCCCCAAGGGGATAAAATAGGGAATGAAAGTTTGTATGAAACTTTGTCAATTTTAAACCGATCGGGCTGAGACTTTTCATGCAGGTATAAGAAGAATCATAGATGAATGTCGTTGTGTATAATACAAGCCTGAGAACAAAAACTGTAGTCTATACTTCAGCTCTACACCGAAGCGAAGCGAGGGCGGGCCGCTAGTTAAAAATAAAATGTAGTGACCGAAAATAATCTTTTTTTCAAGTTTGAATTTTATATAGGTAAAACCATAGATAAATGATTGGTCTCGCAACCACAGGCAGATCAATCATTCATCTATCGTCAAACGCATGATAGCATGTGCAATGTTGTTTTTTTATTTATTCAAAATAAATACAAAATCCATAAATCTGAAACCAATCTCTTGTTGTTTTATTATATTGTTACTAGCTGACCCAGCAAACGTTGTTTTGCCATATAAATGACTATTAAAAATAGGGGTTGGCGATAGAAGGGTGAAAATTCAGAGTTGTATGTATTTTGAATGCCACATTATAAAAAAAATGTCCAAAAATAAAAAAATAATGTAAGGAGTGGACATCCTTTATCACTCAGGGGTATGAAAAATAGATAGTAGCCGATTCTCAGACCTACTGAATATGCATATAAAATTTCACAAAAATCGGTCAGGCCGTTTCGGAGGAGTATGGTAACTAACATTGTGACACGAGAATTTTATATATAAAATTTTAAGCAATAAACTGCGAGATTTATAAATCTAGGAATATTTTACTAAATAAATCCACTCGGACGGTGGAGGTTCGAATCCTGTCTGATGCCTGGACTGACCGATTTTTTTGTAGTAAAATTTTCTTTAGATTGAGTAATCTCTTGTAGTTTGTCGGATACTACTTAAAATTGTTTAAGATCCAGACTAAAAGCATAATGCCAACACAAGCTTTTCCGCACTTCTGCAGGACCCTTATATCGGTAAGAATAGGAAGCGGAAAACATCTTCCCTTCTTATTAATAAACGAAGACTAAGCTTGGATTAGTTACTCTATTTTTTGTCTCTGTTCATTGAATTACAAATGACACTTGAGTGTTATTAACAAAACACGGCTTAGCTAGTCTAATCTTATTCTTAGTTTATGAACTCCGCAGTAGATGCTTTTGAAAGTAAAATTGCTAATGCGCAAGCTCCGTTATCTTAGGTTTAAGTTTAAGATGCTTGGCGCTACTTATATGTACCAGCTACAGGTACAGTCGTTTGCCATGAAAAATTCACATTGGATAGGCAGGTTAGATTATTACTGCCCTACCCTAATTAAATAAAACGTTTATTTCAGGATGCACTATCTAAGGAGTATGTACAAAATCATGCTCCTTAGACCCTGCAAAAGGATGCGACACGTCGAGTTACGTAAAAAGTACCAAAAATGCATTTTAAACCCGATGGGAAAATTTGTTCTATTGAATGAGTGGTGTGCGTGAAAACTGCATCATCAGCTTATTAATGACACCGCTGCTGGGGCACAGGCCTTCCCTATGGATGGAATAGGGAGATTGGGCCATGACGCACCACGCGGGCCCAGTGCGGATTGGCGGGTGCTAACGACTGCAGATGCAGCCTTGACCAACGGCTTAACGTGCCTTCCGAAGCACGGAAGAACTCGAGATAGTAAATTTTTCAATTCAACTTCAACGATCGCAGCCGAACGCGCTAACCACTTGCGCCATCGAGCTCCTGAAACAAATACCCTACCCTAATTGAATTTTGGTCAGAAATATGTATGACTGCAGAAGAAACATTTATAAGGTGTACATTACACACTCATGCAGCCGTCAGTCAGAATAAAAAGTTATCAATAACCTATTAAAGCGGAATTAGATGGTTTTAATTTTTGCTTTCATTTTGCAAAAACCGAAAATGAAATGTCTAAATTTACGTTCGTTAAAATGTGCCTTCGTGATGAAGGCGGCTCCTGAATGTTTTCACTAGCATCCAATTATGCATTTATCATCATTCATCGGCAATGAACGACAAATGAAGCGTCTAAACAGCGACAGCTCGTTCACATTTCATTTCTTTAGCTGTACCGGTATTTATTTTTTAATTAAATATCTCGACATAGATGTCTTCGCGGGAATTTCACAGGGAATGGAAAATTTGCTTTCGTTTAAAGTGATGCGTCTATTCAAACAATGCATATCACTGTTCATTATACACAAATAATTGAAAAATAAATCACTTTTGATGAACCGTCTAATTCAGTCATAACCTAACCTAGCCAGTCTTTACAATAAAACTTTGGGCGTTTAAGAAAGTGATAATGGAAAAGCAAATAAAAAGAACTCACCCGCCGTTGCTGTGTGCTGATTTATCAGAATCGTTCGCCTCTGCAACCTTCATCAAAGTCTTTATTTTATCGCCTGGAGTAGAAACATTGGAGCTTTGCACTTCCAGATCCGGTTCACCTTTAACCAACGTTTCTGTTATCTTCTCCGTAATAACGGCAGGTCCATTGGTCTTCTCTTTAACAAGTAACACGATCGATTCAACCTCTTTCTTAGCTTCTTCTTTTAACTTTTCTTCCAACTTTTTAGGCTCTTCAACAGGTGTTATTATACTATCCACAATCTTAGCAGCCTCATGCCGCATTTCAGCCTCCAATTTCTCGTTCTGCTTAACCATTTGGTCTTTCAGTTCAGACAACTTCTTAGCGGCTTGGTCCTTCGATTCTTTTACGTCAGTCTTCGTTTTGTTCGCTATGTTTTTAAATGTGCTTTTCATTTCTTTTTCCGCTTTCACTGCTGGAGCGAGTATGTTCTCGGTGGAAACTTCTGGTGATTTTAAAACTTCGTCTATTTTTTGTTTCACTCTCTCCACTTGAGGATTATTGTATGGTGGTTGTAAAGGTCTTAGTTTTATGTTATCTTCAATAAATATTGAACTGATCTCTTTTGGCCTAGAAGCGGGTTTTTTGTCTTCAACTTTAGGTGGCTTCTTTTCTTCTTCCTCTGGTTTCTTTATTTCTTCAACATCAGCTTTCACTTCTATCGTTTTTTTAGCTTCACTTTTTACTGTATCAGGAGAATCAGGTTCAGGTGTTGTATCTTTGTCTTTGTCTTCATCTTTAGGTATTAAAGATTCTTTTGAACTTAGTCTTTCAAACATACCTTTTTCTCTTGCTTTTTCTAAGGCAGCTGGTAGTTGGTTCGTGACTGTTGTAACTACTTCTAATGGTTGAGAGGTAATAGCAGCTGTTGTCATTGAAACAATATTCTTTTTCGTTAATATTACTAATTCACCTTTTTCATTAGTGATTTTATCGTATTGAGTTTGATTGTCCTGTTTGATGACTTCTTCTGTGTCTGTTCCAGAGTCTACACTTGCTTTTGACTCAATTTTACTTTTATCTTCTTTTTGCTCTTTAGTTTTATCTTTTCCCGACTTTTGGGGTTGCCTTTCTTCCTTAGTTATATTTTTTTTTGCTCCAACTTCATTAATTTTGCTAGTAGATTTAGCTTTTTCTGTTAAATCTTTTTTACTGCTTTTCTTCACTAATGGTGGTTTCTCGTACAAGTTTTTAGTGCTCGGAGTTCTTGGTAAACTTTTCATACTGTTGGTACGATTGATCGGAGGTTTTTGTTCAGTTTTATTAATATTTACAGTTTTTGGCGGAACTTTTGTACTAGGTGTTCTAGATACTGGTTTGTTAGGTGTAGTGGTGGGTTTTGTAGTTTTAGAAGAAAGAGAAGGCTTGGCTATAGTTTTACGTTTCTCAGGACTCGAATCTCTACTGACAGTTCTGCTAGGCTGTCTAGAATTCAATCTAGATGTAGCAGGGGTATTACCAGCAGTCTTTACTGGCTTTCTAGCAGCAGGTGAAGGATTGGTAGGTCTTTTGGCTGAGCTAGGCTTCAAATCTTCGATAGGACTTTTATTAGGTGTACCAACTATAGGTGACAGTCGTTTAGAGTTAATTGCTTTATTTGAAGGAGGTGGGCCGCCCTTTCCAGGTGAGATTGGAGGTTTTCCTTTGATAAGTGTTGGAGATATATCCAGAAACTGTGTACTTTTACTCATGTTTCTTTTGTCATGCACTTGACTACCGACTCTGATAGTTTCATGTATACTACTTGTACTATTGGACATGAATCTCTGATTTTTTAAGCCATTTTCTACAGGTCTTCTCGAAATTGAATTTTCTCTTCTATTACCTATTCTAACAGGTGAAACTGAATTTTGGCGTTTAGGAATCTTTGAATGTTTTGGGGATCCTTCATTGGATTGAGGCACCGATTTCGAAACAGCTCTCACTCGAGATTTGTGTGTGACAGGCTTCTTAACTTCATCATCGACATTAATGAACTCCTTACTACCCGCAGGTATATTTTGGTAATGTAATATTGCGGCAGGTGAATTAGACCTAGATCTGTAGTTGTTCGATTTAGTTTTGGTTGGTGAATTACTCCTTGATGTCGTTCTTGAGCCTACCACACTTCTGATGGCGTCACTTTTTGCATTCTTGTCTAACAAACCCATTTCTTTTAACAAAGCTTCTTCTTCTTCTTTCCTTTTTCTTTCTGCTTCAGCCTCGTGCTTTTCTCTGTTCAGCTCGCTGAGCTCTCTCACCTCTTCTATGTTTTCTTTGACAAAGTTTCTTGGGGAGTGGGGTCTACTTAGATTGTGAATTGGCATCGGGAGGGCAGCTGCTTGAGCCATTTTGTCAATTTTTGATAAGGAGTGAGTTCTTCTCCGGGGAGGTGAGCTGGCACGTGAGTTAGCTGCAGATGTTCGCGGCGTATTGTGTCGGGATGTCTCCTCTCTGAAGCCGCGACCTTGAAAGAAGATAAAGAGACTGTCATTAGCATTGAGATTGAAAACAAAAAAGACTACAGTTATTTAATAATAATAATAATAATAAACATTTCAGACTTTAAATCCATATACAAGTGTTAGTAACAGACGAAATCTTATTCTAGTGTTAGTAAATGAAAAAAGTACAATCGAACACAAATACAACAAATAATAATATAACACGTTCGGATTCCGATGGGACTCGTCTGTTATTTATAAATAATTATAATGATAGACTGGCGAATGTAGCTTAAGCCAGTGTCGCAATAGTGGGGAGTGCCAGTTTAAGTAAAGATAATATGTAGAGCATGATTTGATCAATGAACAAATTAAAACTAACAACAAAGTTACTCTCAATTAAAAAACAACCTCATCTCCCAAATACCTAAATCAATCTATGTTTATTAATATTTGTTCTTACAGTCGTAAAAGTGAAAGTATCAATATTTGTTTGTAAGTTAGTGATATAGTAACACGGCTGAACAGATTTGGTTGAAAACTTGTCGAAAGCAACTCATAAATTACCGTCGAGTATAACAATCAAGAAATCTTTGCTTTGAATGTGGTGTTGAGTTGTGATAACTTGGGTCACAAGTGTTAGATTAAATAGTTAATACCTGGTAACAAAATATAAAGGGAAAGACCTATGTCCCAAAAAAACTTGGTTTGAAGGACGTGTGTTTAAATGTTAAATTAATCACCTTTGAACGGTGACCGCCTGTCTGATCTAATCTCGACTGGCAGGGACCTAGGGCTGGTGGGGCGAGAGGCGGCAGGCGTCTCTGCTAGTATCGCGAATGAGGACTCCTTCTTCTTCTTGGCTGTCGACACCACACTGGAATAAAATGGAAAATTCTATTCAACATATGAATTGTAGTAAGCTTTTTGTACATTTGTCTCCGATAGGGTAGGTATGAAGAGCTCGATGGCGAAAGTGGTCATCGCGTTCGGCTGCGATAGTTGCAGTTAAGCAACATTCGCAGTGGTCGGTCATTGGATGGGTGACCAAAAATGTACTATCTCGAGCTCCTCTGTGCTTCAGAAGGTACGTTAAGCCGTTGGTCCCGGCTGCATCTACAGTCGTTAGCACCCTTGATGGGTTTCTGGGCTACTTCGCACCTGGGCCCGCGTGGTGGATCATAGTCCAATCTCCCTAATGCATCCAGAAGGAAGGCTTGTGCCCCAGCAGTGGGGACATTAATAGGCTGATGATGAAGTACAAGATCATGCAGATTATTAAGGAACATTTAGCAAAAATGTTGCGTGTAAAGCTATTATAGTAATTGCTAGTAAAAAGTAAATAATTTAGGAAGTTATTCTGTTTTCTGTCGTTGTACTTAGCATAATTGTGAATAACGTTTATTATTCATATTGCTCAGATTTTGGGTGATTGTGATGCAATAGAATAGATTAACTTATTATGGCGGGTACATTTTGCAATTTCATTTCGAATTTATTTATTTTTTGTATACTTTTGCATATGCATTTAAAAGCTTGTCCATCTGCGTTTCGTCTACTGTCACAGATATTGTCTTGACTCCTGGGGGCCTACCGCCTAATGGGATTTCTATGGCTATAGCTATAGCTTACGACTTTGTTTTGTTATTCCTAACTTGATTTTCTGACTCCCAAGACGAGAGGCCGATAGATAAACTGTCTCCAATAGGGTATTTGACAGTATTAAAAATAAAGCGCCAATTGATAGGATCTGTGTTTAGAATGAACATTGGCAGGGGTTTTTACTATTTTTTACAAAAAAAATATTCTTAATTTTATTAAAAACCCACGAAAAAGATAATAGTTTTCTTATCTATCTATCACGTGACCCAAAACGCTTGGGATTGGCGGAGCCTAAAATGACGTCACACGAAAGTAAACTTCCGGTTAAAGTGACATTACATTGTATCGTTTGACGTTTTAATGACAGTCGTGTGACGTCACACACTAGTAAGACGCCATATTGTCCAGAGAAACGTTTTCGCGGCAACTTGAAAATGGAGTTTATGATTTTTACTGAAATACACAACATAATGATGAATATCCACTTTTTACGGACTCCATGAACATTAGTCAATAACGTGAGATCGTTTTCTAAAACTTGTCAAATACCCCATTCAATCCAATTCACTTTCTTTTTGTAAATAAATGTCCTTTTTAAACAAATAGCCTTAGCCTAAATAGTTGTTTTATTCTTCAAGGTTCCTTCTATATTTTTAGTTCAAAGTCACACAGAAAATGAAGCGAAATAATTTCATTAAAAATCCCATTATTTCTCCCTGTTTTGTCTCCTTTGTGTCCTGATTACAGAGTATTGTAATTTTTTATCTGCTATTAATCGTACACCGGATGTAACATAGTGCGTCCATTGTACGGAGTTTTTCAATGGGACGTGACGTGCGAGTTTGCTTACAAAAAACAGCTCGATTACGGAAACGAATGAGAAAATCGAAAATTACGCGACACGAGAATCGATTGTGGACGCTTCACTACTGATTGATGGTGTTTCCGTAAGTGGCACGCCGATACTAGGACTAGAGTGTGCCCCCGACTTCTCTTACCTAGCTACAAAATAACTTATGGAAACTTATATGTATGTACACCACGGCGAGTGTTCTGAAGAGTTATTCTCCCTTATCCCACTTTTCCCTTTAATAGGGTATTTGACAAGTTTTAGAAAACGATCTCACGGTATTTACTAATGTTTATAGAGTCCATAAAAAGATGGATGGATATTCATCATTATATTGTGTATTTCGGTAGAAAAAACTAAATCAAAAACTGTTTTTACAAGTTGCCGCGAAAACGTATCTCTGGACAATATGGCGTCTCACTGGTGTGTGACGTCACACGACTGTTATAAAAACATCAAACCATACAATCTAATGTCACTTTAACCGGAAGTTTACTTGCGTGTGACGTCATTTTAGGCTCCGCCAATCCCAAGAGTTTTGGGTCACGTGACAATAACAACAACAAAAATATTATCTTTATCGTGGGTTTTAGTAAAATTATGAATATTTTTTCTGTAAAAATAGTAAAAACTCCTGCAAATATTCATTCTAAATACACATGCTAACAATTGGCACTTTATTTTTAATACTGTCAAATACCCGATTCAGAGGACAACGCGCGCTGGCTTAAGTTGTCACCGACTGCGTGTTCCAAGAACCAAAACTTGATTGGCAAGCAGGTAGTGTATTAGTCGATTGCACACAATGACTAAATCTAATATATAAAATTCTCGTGTCGCGGTGTTTGTGGTTAAACTCCTCCGAAACGGCTCGACCGATTTTCGTGAAATTTTATATGCATATTCAGTAGGTCTGAGAATCGGATGTAATCTATTTTTCATCCCCCTCAATGTTAAGGGTAATCCAGTCCTAAAATTTTTTTTTTAAATTTTAGGTAGACATTTTTTTTATGATACATCATACAAAAATACATACATCCCTAAATTTTCAACTTTCTACCACCAACCAATATTTTTTTATGGCGGTACGAAGTTCGCTGGGTCAGCTAGTCTAATATATAAAATTCCCGTGTCGCGGTGTTTGTGGTTAAACTCCTCCGAAACGGTTTTCCCGATTCTCATGAAATTTTGCGTGCATATTGGGTAGGTCTGAGAATCGGACAATATCAATTTTTCATCCCCCTAAATGTTAAGGGTAATCCACCCCTATTTTTTTTTCTATTTTAGAAAAAAAAATTTTTTTTAATTTTTTTATGATACATTATACAAAAATACATATAACCCTAAATTTTCACCCTTCTACCACCAACCCTTATTTTTTTATGGCGGTACGAAGTTCGCTGGGTCAGCTAGTATATTTATATATATGATGAAATTTATTATCAGTGCTAGAGATCTACTGATAAAATGAATAAGATCGAAAACATATGATGCATTCGAGATATTATTAAGTAGAGCCTACTATTCTTGCACACACTAAGACGCACATGCAAGAACACACACCGCACCTACACGCTCACACATATACACAAACACACACATTTATTTACTCTTCTTTTAAAGGACCCTCCCTATAAAAAAAAAAGGTAAATTTAAAAAATCAAAAAACCCGACTGCTTAGTTATACTTCAAATAAAAACTGAAAAGAAAAAAACAAGTCCAGTAGTCTATAATTCTGTTAATAAGGAACAAAGCTACTTTAACAGTCGGGACCCATTAGATATTCAAGAATACATAATATTTTTCAACAGTGGGTCCCGGCTGTTAAACTTGCTTTGTTCCTTATTAACAGAATTATAGACTACTGGACTTGTTTTTTTCTTTTCAGTTTTTATTTGAAGTATAACTAAGCAGTCGGGTTTTTTGATTTTTTAAATTTCTTTTTTTATTTCACACTTTTTAGTTAGTTAGTATTTTAAGACGGTATATACCGTAGTCTTGTTACTTCAGTAAGGGAATTAATATCGCGGGAATTATTAAATACCTAGCGTCGGTCTAAAAGATTGATTTATTAAGACATATAAAGACTTTACCAGCGGGGTCAAGGCTACAGATGCGCCTCAATTTTCGCAAAAATGTGTGAAGTTAAATCAAGTCGTTACATAAATATCTCTAATGTATGTAAATTTTATAGTAAACTAGCACTTACTCAAAAAGTCATCTTTTGTTTATGTTTTTTTTAATAGTTTAGCAGTAAATATAAAATTCATTTACTTTTATTCGTCGACTATTTAAAATTGGCAGTGGCTGCATTGTCATGTCAATGCCGGACGTCTAAGATTGTGATATACACAAATGCAGTGTCAGTCCCTAGTCTCATAATTTGATATGCCCACATAATTCACAGAAACCCAATATGTAGATGCCAGAAGTTAACTTCAAATGTTTTTAATCACCCTATAATACCAATCAATGACGTTTATGTCGCAGGTTGAAGAAAGCGGTAATTCCCGTTTGTTGTTTTGGACAATGGTGGCAACTGCCTTAGATCACTAAATTAAATAATTATGTAATCACCAAAGCAATGGCAATTATTTTCCAAATTTTTTTTTTGTTTAAAAAAATACCGAATAACGTATCACTGTTAAGCACAAATGCTAAGTAACTTTTACAATTATAATCAAATAAACCTATTACTTACTTTATTTTTAAATCTTTTTCATCAATTAAATACTTATCATATCCTAACTATATAAAATAATATTATAAAGAGGCAAGATTTGTATGTTTATATCAAATAATCTGTCAAACTACTGAACCGGTTTCAAATATTAATTCATCATAATGTAGCTACATTATTTATTATTACATTTTTCTTTATTTAAATACATTTTGTCCGAGTGACATAGGCTATATTTCATCCCGATAAATAAATTTCGCCCGTACAATGCCCGGGTGGATCACTAGTAAGTATAATATAATATTATAGATGTGAAAGTGAGTTTGTTTGTTGCGCTTCCGTGCCCTAATAACTAAATCTAATATAATGAATTCCCATATAGAAGTAGATGGGAACTTGGTTCTTAGCTACAACATCGCAATACTTATAGGCGTAGGGTGATGAAAGGGGTGATTTACCTATAAAAATCTACATTATTTACTTTGAATTTTGTAGAATTATTACAAAACCAAAATTATCGCGAGCTGATTAATAATATAGGGATTCCAATTAGTATGTTCTTACTAGCGAGAAATGGGTTATTTGTCATTATATTAAGTAAACCTTTTTTGTAACATTAAGTAATATCGTTAAAAAAATTAAAAACAGTAAAATTCAGAGTTTTTCATTAAAATTCAATAGTCATAAATACCTGTTATGATAATATATTTTTCATCATTTAATAAAAAGGAACTGTATCACAGTT